TCCCCGAGTCCTGGGTAACCCTGTGTGTGGAAGGGACTCCCATTAGGTTCATGGTAGATACTGGGGCACAGTATTCAGTTCTCAACCAAGCCCATGGTCCCCTAAATCCAGGATGCACAAGTATAGTCCAGGGAGTGACAGGGTCCAAGAAATGTGCCTGGACTACTAGCAGAAAAGTGGACCTAGGAAGGCATCAGGTCTCTCACTCATTCCTGGTTGTACCTGAAAGCCCCGCACTGCTGCTGGGCAGAGACTTATTAACCAAGGTCGGGGCGTGCATCCATTTTGAACCCACAGGGATAAAGATCATGGACAAAGGGGGGCAGCCCCTACAACCGGTGCATGTGTTAACTCTGTCCCTGGCCAATGAACACCGTCTGTTTCAGGCAGATCAAGAAAAGGGGGGCCAGAGAGAAATAGACTCTTAGTTGCAGAAGTTCCCTTCTGCATGGGCCAAAACCAGAGAGATTGGTCTCGCCAAACATCTGCCCCCGGTTGTTGTTCAACTCAAAGCTGCGGCCCTACCCATCCAGGTCCAGCAGTACCCAATACCAGAAGAGGCTAGGAAAAAGATAGCACCCCATATTCACAGACTGTTAGAGGCAGGAATCCTTAAACCCTGCCAATCTGCCTAGAATACGCCCCTGTTCCCAGTAAAGAAGCCTGGCAGTAGAGATTATAGACCTGTGCAAGACTTACAAAGAGTTAATGAAAGGATAGAAGACATTCACCCCACAGTGCCCAACCCTTACACCCTACTCAGTCACCTGCCACCCTTACATGTGTAGTACACTACACTAGACTTGAAAGATGCCTTCTTCAGTATTCCACTCTCTGAAGTTAGTCAGCCTATGTTTGCCTTTGAGTGGCAGGAGCCAGAGAGAAGAAGAAAAGGGCAGCTTACCTGGACTAGACTGCCACAAGGCTTCAAGAACTCTCCCACTTTATTTAATGAAGCCCTAAGCCAGGACCTGGAGCCCTTCCGCAGGAGCCACCCCCGCATGACACTGCTGCAGTATGTGGATGACCTGTTGCTGGCTACAGAAACCCATGAGGAGTGCAAAGAAGCCATGGGGAACTTGCTGGCTGAACTAGGTGAACTGGGATATCGAGCCAGTGCCAAGAAAGCCCACATCTGTCAGAGTTCAGTGATCTACCTGGGGTACAGAATATCTAATGGAGCAAGATGGCTAACACAGGCCATGAAACAGACTATCCTGACTATCCCCGTTCCTTCCTCACCCC